TTTTTGGTTGCAGCCATCATTGTTGTTTGGCAGGCCCGGGCTGGATTCAAACCCGCCACCTTAGGTGTATGTGGCTGGGGCCTTAGCCACTTGAGCCACAGGCGCCGAGCCTCTCTTTTGCCATTTCTTCTCATCTCCCCAGTGTCTAGGACCCCAAAGCCCAGTTTATGGACCTATTATCTTCTCTAAGCACACTTTCCCCTTTGATGATTTCATCAAATTTTATAGCTTTAAATACCTTTCTTTGTGTCTATTTGTTGATGGCATTCAAAGATTTCCAGTCTTGTATAATCAGCTATCTACTATTTGACATATACTCTTGAATGTCTAATAGGCATTTCATCTTGGATCTGTCTAATATCAAATTCCTGACTTGTCCCTCAACTAGGTTTGGTCCTTCTGTAGTCTTCCCCTTTCTCAGTGAAGAGTAACTCCATTCTACCAGTTGCTTAGCCAAAAAGTCTGTAGTCACCTAAGTCATCCTCTTTTTTCTCCTTACCTATACAGTGCATCCAGACCTTTATCATGTTATAATTTCATAGCTATTATTCTGATCTATCCACTGTCATCTCACTCGGATTACTGCAATAATATAAATATAGGCCTTTCTCATTATCTTATCTTAGCAGCTAGAATGATGGATGGTATTAAAGTGAAAATTAGATTGTATTATTCCTTGGCTCTAAACCTCCTATTTGACCCAGAGTAAAAAAAGCCTAAGTTCTATACTGCAGAACTCTGTAAGCACTTAGGTCCTTCTTATCCTTCTCTGAAGTACTGTCTATCGATCCTCCTCACTGTTCACTCTGGCTGGAATGTTCTTCCTCCACATATATTCCTTCCTGGTTGCCTTTAATTTCTGCTCATTCTCTCAAATGTCAATTGTCTCAGTGAGATCTTTCCTGATTATTTAAAAACATAATCTAATTTAATAATTTAAAATCACAACCCTCTCTAATCATTCCCTAGCCTGCTGTTCTGCTGTATTTTACCACAGCACTTACCACCACCTATTATGTGTATAGCATATATGAATGTATATGTGTGTGTATATATGTATATATATTTATGATCTGTCTTGAATCTCTAAAATAGAAGCTCTGTGATGGCAGGAACTTTGGTGTTTTTTAAATTCACAACTGTTACATAATCTGACATGACCTGAAATCAGGTTCAAAATAATGCCTGAAATATAGTAAGCTGCCACTAAACATTTGATGATTGAATGAATGAATTTGTATCAAGGAAATTAACATTGCATAGTCCTTAACAGTGGCTTATGTTAATTTTTGTGCAAAAGTAAACTTATGGTATTTAAGAGTTATATTTTGAGACTTCACCTATTACCAGATTCAGAAATATGACTATAATACATTGTTAATATCTTTATTTTAGCTATTTATAAATGGAGAAATCCAATATTCTGTGGATTAAATGTGGGGGGGAAGCTGAGTTGATTTTTATTATTAGTTCCTTGCTCATCTTTTGGTTTAGGTGCCTGTAGGTGATCAACCTAAGGATATTGAGCTTCAAATCAGAGAGCTCATTCTCCGGTTCATCAGTAATCCAAATTCCATTATCCTTGCTGTCACAGCTGCTAATACAGATATGGCAACATCAGAGGCACTTAAAATTTCAAGAGAGGTAGATCCAGATGGTAAGGACAGATTTTAATATTTAATGAGATACTTGATTTACAGTGGTAAATCTAACCTCAAGAAAGAATTTTTACTTTTAATAGGAATATCTCCCATTGTTTCTTTCTTTTTTTTTTTTTTTGCAGTTTTTGGCCAGAACTGCCACCTCTGGCATATGGGGCTGGCATCCTACTCCTTTGAGCCCCAGGTGCTGCCCCAGGAATATCTCCTATTGTTAATACAAATTATAAAATTACAATTTCCTGTTTTGCTGGTAAATAGAAATTCTGATGGAAAAGAAAAGTAGTTAAGTTGCTATACAGGCTAGGCAAAAATATTGCACGTGACAGTACTTGTAATGGCTACCTAATGATATAAAAATAAGGGCTTTGCAAAAAGGGTTGCTTGTTTTGTGATTTAGGTTTC